AGCCATTCTGCGACTGCCGGTCAGCGGAGATATAGTGGGACTTGGGCGACATGGAGTAGTCGTTCGAATGTGGGCCCGAGTGTACAGAGTGATTGCTGCCTTCGCGATAGACGCTTGTGTTCTTCGGCGTTGGTGTATATGGCTCGGAGGGCATGACGGAGCCGGGGACAGTGTTAGTCCGTTTTCCAGGGAGTTCGACCACAACGAGACATGTCAGTGGTTGACTCGTATCCGACGTCCGCGTTATGGTCGCAAACTCGGACTGGACGTGGATAGAGGGAGCGACAACGTAGTGCGATTGCTCCTGCGAGTGGGCGGACTTGTGTTCGACCGGGTCGTCCTCAGTTGGGTCGAAAGGCTTCTGAGGCACCGCACCACGTCCGTGCTGGGGTCCGTGGCCGTTGAACGAGCGCATCGACGAGGGCGTGTCGCGCCCGGGGAAGAGACCCTGTAGCGCAGGATCACCCATTCCCGTCAGGGCGGCCAATTCTAAGGGATCTCAGCATCGGCTACGTTCTCAGATATTGCGTGTACGCACTGTTGGATTTGCCTCCGTCGCCGTCGCCCACTTTCATCGGTCTTCTACATACTCCGCAAACTCCAAGGTTGGACTTGCGGATAACACCACCGGCGCGAGATGGGCCAGGCGGTGGGCCATATACAGCAGTGAAGCATGCCTGGCGCAAATCAAGGTTAGCATCGCGTACAACAGGTCGCTCATATCCGCAGCTCCATTCAATCGCGCCGACGCTTGAATGGCGAAAAAGCAGGCAGTCCCCAGCGCGTCAAGTCCAGTAGAAGATTGAACGTCGACGACTGTGAGAGAGAACGTAATTGAAGAACCATACATCGCTTAACCCGCAAGCCTCAAATTGTGTGCGACCAATTTCTCGCCCACGGAGTGCGTTGGACTTGTCCAGCAGTACGTTCTGTGCGATTCGACGTAATACGGTCGGACGGGAAGCCAGAGCTAGCAGGACAGTCGGCACAGTAGCGGCGACATCTCAGTGTCGCCGCCGCCGCCCAGACGGATACACAGAGGCACGCCGAGTGTGGATTGAGCTCCGTGGTGACAATTGTGCGCGACTTCAGGCACTGCGCTCGACGACAGACGGGAGCAGAAGTGCGCGAGAGACAGAGGGACGCGCGCTACCGCTTCGCTCGCAATATCCGCGTGACTACCAAATATGGTTCAAGTCTACTTCGGGGCTTCGAGCCCTAAAGCTTGCGCGACACCGCAAGTAGCGAGGGAGCACCCTTCCCGACGTCCCGCTCGACAGATGCGGGCCCTGGATGCACGCAAGTGCGACGCCAAAGGGCGTGATGACGGGCTAGAGCGACAGGCCGCCGCGCCGGGCGCACTGTTGCCCCGATCAAGGCAGGATGGCGGGAGCGGGCTCGACCTCCAGGTCACAGTCGAGGGTGCGTGTCCGACGGGGCTCAACGTAGAAGCGGGTCTAGTTGCAGGAGAACACGTCCAAGGGCGAGCGGGCGGGAATTGCGAGTCTCAGCTGTCCCTCTCCCGCACGTACCCAAAGGACCACGAGTCTGAGCGCGAGATCTGACACATGAAGTGTACAGTCGTGAAGCAGGCAATACCGAAGTAGAGCAACTGCGGGGTAGGCGCAGGCGCGGGACGTGGGAACTAGTGCGGCGTTGGAGAGTCGCTGCGCCGTCGATACGGGGTATCGGTGTACGAGGTAGATGGGAATGAAGAGAAGGACAGGGGGGTTCTCCAAGACAAGATGCGCGTGGAGAGACAGTGCTCACCTCATGAAGGGAGTGTCCACACTCGGGGACGATGTGAGGCTTCTCTCCGGGGAGCCTGAAGGACGAGCTCAAGGGCTCGAGACAGACGGGGCACTCGGCCTCCTCGTCCGAGGCGTCGTGGCTTGATACAACAGGTAGAGGTGCAGCGACCATGGAGGAGTAAGGATGCAGGTTGCTGGAGTCGGGGTTGGAGGAGTAGGACGGGGGCTTTACAGAGGAACTGCTGGCGGAGTATGCCGAGTGGAGAGACGCGGCGGAGGTCGCGCGATGGGGCGAGCGGTGGAAGACGGAGCGCACGGATGCAGCGAACGAGTTCGCCTTGTTGGTGGTGGAAGCCGTGCGTGCACGGGGGGCGAGGAGGGGAGAAGAGGGAGGAAGGATGTGATGGGAGTTGGACTGATGAAGCTGGGAGGACTGATGCCTGGTGCTCTGGCTCTGGTTCTGCGGGATCCAACCTGTCGAGGCGACAGACGAGAATTCCGACCTCATGCGGGAACACACCGGAAGAAAGAAAATAAGAGAAACGAGTGGAGGACGCTGGACTTGCCGTCGCTCGGGGACGGGGCGGTCGCGGTCGAGAGTGCAGCAAGGAACGCGCCGCCAGCAACCGTAAATTGCAACCCAACCGACCGATCCAGATCTCCTTGTATTCGCAGCATCCCCCCATCCGCCTCCCTGCCTCCTCCCGACCATGCGCACACCATCGCGCTGCATCGACTGCACGACCGACGCGCTCTCCCTCCCGGCCAGCGACACACTCTGCGGGGAGCCGTACCCAGCGTACCTGTCTTCGCCGCGGCCACATATAGGACACAGCTGCCGGCCGCGGCCGCCCTGGATTGTCCCCGGTATGGAAGGTATGCAGGCGCGCGGTGCTGTCAGAACTCGTCCTCTTCTGCCACAGCTTGTCTTCTACCATCATCTTCGCTATCAAACTCTCAGCGCCCTTCGCCGTCGTTTTCCCAACCTTGCACCCCGACGATGTGCGTGTTCGAGCATGCCTGAGCACGCCCGAGGACGTCCCCGCGTTCGATCCGGGCTAGAGGCGCTCGATCGAGCCACATAAATGCAGTACACTCACATCGGCGATATGAATGACCCCAATACTGAACGAGCTGGAGCGTTCAATCTATGAACTGAGCCACCGCCGCAACTATTCTCGTGCACGCCCGCGGCCTGGGGCCTGTCTCGCCTCTGTGAATCTTCGGAGCTGGAGTAAGCATCAAGGATGATGGCGAAACCTTCCTGTCAACGTTGATCGTGGCCTCGACTTACCTCACTTGTCAAACCAGAACCCGCATGATCTAATTGACTGAGGCAGGGCACCGACGTTCCGTATAGTATGCCAGCCCAATCATCTCCTCGGCTTTGCCGGTCAAGGGTCCGTGGCCTGCTCTCAGCGTCGCTGACGCCTATGCTGGTATGTTGTAAGGTAGGTCTGGGAAGGCGGCGACACGAACATCTTTGCGATATCAGAGTTTGTCGTGCTTCTCTCATTTCTGTTCTCACAGCCGATCCGCTGACCACCCATTCACTCAGTCCAGCACAGCACGAGTGATAGATGCCCTCCCTGCATGATGGATGTCAGCATCGTGTCCCGCGTACGGGGGGCGACTGCGGCCTTTGTGGCACAGCGAGCTCACTTCCAAGCACTCGTCAACGACGCCTCAATAACCCACGTTGTCGTGAATTGACGTCGTGCGATTCATACCCGCCGTATGTCGCGCTGGCGTACGTCCGGGAGAGTCAACGTCATGATCTGCATTGACCCCGTGTAGGCCTTCTCTGAACCTCCCCCGCCGGGTTCCTCGCGCTCCCGGTGCATCCCTGTGATGTCGTCTCATGCTGAACCTTGAGCTTCGCCCACCGCCGTAATCGCGAACCTCGCTGCTTAGGGATACGGCACACGGACGCCCGGCTGTCCAACCTACGGGGCAAGGTGACATCCCGGCCGGCGTTACCGACGGCAGTGACAGACGGAGGTGTAACCACCCACCAGACGTGTCTGCGGCGTATGTGAGCTCCAGCGACTTGCGTCTATCACACTGTCCCCTCTCTGACATGCGAATCAGCGCCTGCGCACCCGCAACCACATATACAGTACCAGGGTGCCGGATGTGCGCAATATCTTCGCAGCCAGACGCGTGCAGCACTCGATGTCCACGGCAGCCTAACGCAGTAACGGGACTACTGGTGCTCCCTCGGCCCTGGTGGAAGAACGCAGTCCGCAGATCACCCATCGGAATGACCTTGTTGCTGAATGCAACGTGTCACGCGTGCTCTTGGGTCTGATGATCCTGATGCTGAGGGTAAACTGCCGTCTCCCTTTGATTGCCTAGTAAATACCTACCCAGTGCTGACTCGTTGGAGGAGGACACAGACAGCCAGCCAGCCACTGCTATGAGCCTCGATGCAAAGTACGTTCCCACCGCTTCCTCAGGATTAGTTGGGCCCTGACACTCTGTGATCTTCCCCTTGCGAAGCCCGTCCTGCACTGCCCTCGATATCCTGCAGGTGACTGCTCGACTGCTCATATCCAAGTCTTCGCTCGGGTGTCCCGCCGGAGTCCGCATGGCCGCATGTCCTCTTTCCTCGGGTCGTCCATCTCGCCACGATTCACGAGCTTTCCCGGCACTCACTACCGGCCGACTTACACGACGTGCACCAGGTCACTCGACTGAGTACTCGTATGTATATATACTTGATATGTTGCTCTGAGACCTGGGAGTCTCTCACACTGCACAGCGACTCGAGCAAGTACGAGAACCAATCACCGCCCGCCGCCGGTCGTCCCGCATACCGTGCGTGCCCGACTGACCCGGGGTCACGGTCGTCCTCAAGCTCTCGCTACCATCTCGACCATACAACTATGTCAGTTCTGTCCCTCGCGGGCTGCAGACTTGTTGTCCAGAAGCACTCCAAGCCCTGGGTACACGGCGGCCACTCGACATGATTTCCACAGCTGAAGCGCGCTCTCCATCCGGGAAACCTGTTCCTTGCGTTCGAGAACCCCGGGACAGCTCAGGCTAGACTAGCCCGTCTCTCGCAGGATAATCTCCTGTGGCGACCGTTGGACGACGGGGTTCTGTGCCGAATGCCTTTCGCGAAAAGGCTCCAGCCTGTAAGCTTCGCACGAGCTCTGATGCCACTGTGGGAGGGAGTTGGAGGTTTGGTGAGGTCCACGTATCGGCTGTTCGTGTTGAGGAGGCTCCCACCAAGGAGATAATTAAGGCGCTGTAGTGTAGCGGTTATCACTTGAGATTCTGACGAACGTTCTCATAACCCAGGTTCGATTCCTGGCAGTGCCTATGTTTATATGGCGTCGCTTTTTTTTCGCGGTTACAGAGCTGCCCTCCGCTGTGAGCCTGTGAGTGGTGACAATGATGGTGTGCTGCTGTGTGCTGGTATTCGTCGCCAGGAGGTACATTAACGCTCCGCAAATTGACCGCGATCGCATTTATTGGGCGCATTTACAAGTACAGTACCGAGGTCCTGGACACAATGGGCTGTAACTGAGGATCACAGGTACTTTGAAGTCTTCTCGAACATGAACCAATGCGTGGATGGGCTCAACGTATCCAGCTGCCCGTCAGGCTTGCTCGAAGACACTGCAATGGCAACATGCCCCGCGACCATCTTACAATATATGGCTTCGCCATTATCGTCCACGATGACGTCCACCTCGCTGTAGCCAGCGGGGATCGAGCCGGTGGGGATGGTGCAGTACTGAACGCCATCGATTTCGAGGCCTCCATGTCGACCTGCATTCGAGTTACCCTTCCATGAGCACGATTCAAGACATCGAGCGCCCTCAGGGCGAGTGCTCACCGTGTTCGACCAAGCTGCGTTGTGGCTTCTCTTGTGCTGACTCACTCGATGCCTCCACCGCCGCGTGCTCTGAAGTTTTCTGAGACGAAGGCTCGTATACCACCTTGCGTCTTTCGCCGCTCTTGCGGAGCAGTGCAGGCCAAGCCCTCGAGAGCCGTTTGCCCGCCCGTGTCAGAGCATTTCCCTTGGACGGGCCACCAGCCTCGACAGGCTCCTTCCACGGCGGACGCACGACAGGAGGCGGAACCGGGGGCTGCTTTGGGATAGCTGGCACGCTCTCCCATGGCAACCACTTGCCTTCCGGCGACCACAGGCAGAACGCGGTGATCCAGCCGCTCAATGCGAGCTCCCCGCACGACACTGTGCTCCGGTACGCGATGTGCTCCCAGAACTGGACGTCGGGCTTGCCGTCGAACGCGTCGACGAAGCGGCTGAGGATGGGGCGCAGCATGTCGGCCCATACGGAGGGCTCGTCGCCGAGCTCGTAGAGGCGGTAGAGGCGGCGGTGTATCTCCTCCCAGTCGGCTTTCTCGCCTTCGAGTGTCACGGTCGGGATCCCGCACACGATGGAGACGAAGTATTCGAAATATCTGTGGCGAAGAAACTTCGGTGAGTGCGACGGAAGGGCGACAGGTTCGGGAGAGACGCACGCTTTCAGAGTGGACATCATAACCATGGACCCGATCGTCCGGTCGTGCCAGGTGGTGCTGGTAAAGTCCGGGAGTATCCACTCAACGAGTGTGCTGTCCACAACCTGGGTCACGACAAGTCAGATGGAAGACGTCGATGATGCGAGCACGACAATGAGCATACGTTTTCGTGGATCAGAGATGTGAATTGACGCGAGATGCTAGCGTAGTCGTTCGAGTAGCGATCCCCGGATGTTGTCACCACGAGCTTCTTCTTCCCTTGATGCGCAACGAAATAAGAACGCAGCTCTTCCGCGTGTCCGTTCACACTGCACAACAATTGAGTCAGCGACGGGGACCCATCAGCGTTGTGCAGAAACTTTGACACGTGCTAGAAGCTCAGCTGCGTAAGGATAGCCAACCACACGTCGTCTGGCCTGGGAGGAACACCTCGTCAATCGGGCTCACCCGCGAAGTATACAACGATGTGCACTTACCGAATTCGTAGATGATGATGTCCTCCGTAGGCCTCCAGCGCGGCGTGCACGAAACCGTTGCTCCTTGGTACGAGATTGGTGATATTATCGCGGGTGATGGAGGTCTGCAGCATGTCGCGGCATCGTGATGCCTGATCATCACACGCCTCTCTCAAGACGTCGAGATGGTCGAGAGGCTGCCTCTTGATTGGATAGGCCGAAGGCACTTTCTGCGCGACATCGAAAGTCACCGGCATGTCGATGGGCGGAAAAAGACGTTGGGGACTCCGACACTTGCTTATGAGACTTATCTTTGTGCCATCGGCGGCGTTCTAGGGGTGTAGACCTGTGTGGACAGTACTTCACACGTTATAATATGATGCGATGCAGGAAGACACAGCTACAAGGAACCGGGAGTTCCTTCTGTTCCTGCTGGCGGTCTCAATCTGGGTTCCTCATAGATAGCAAAGTCTATGACCGTCACCTGACTTGCGTTCCTATCGGGCAGTGTTCATATGATAAGGTAGCTCTGGGTAGCTCCCCTGGTGCTTCCTATAGAGAGACTCGTATCGGCCCATTCCTGTGGGAGAGACACCTGCTGCGAGTGTCAGGAGGCTATGGAAGCGAGTATCGGACATACACAACCAGGACTTCCGGAAATCCTGACGTGCCAGAACCCTCCTGGATCAGCGTGCGGGCTGGGCAGTCGCAATTTCCTCAAAATCAAAGGCCGTTCGCAATGTCGCATGCTCGAGTTGTGCTCGAGGTCGGGAATCATGGGCGGCAACTGCAGAGGCGTCGGAGCAACGTCGGAGTTGTAAACTTGAAGCGGTCCCGAATAGTCCCGAATATGGCAATGCAGACGCCCGAACCCACTGTGAAATGTTCTGGTGTCCGACTCCTAGCAAACTCCTACTTAGTCATCGTCTATCGCCTGTCTCCGCTCCATCCGCTTGCGCCAGTGACTATGGCACCGGTCCTCTCTGGCGCGAAGTTTATATGATCGGGCCATCGATACTGGCGACCACCGGAAACCGGGCTTGAGCTCGCAAATATGCACCGAGTCGGAAAGTACTTATGGGGAGGGGACATCGACGATTGTCCCGTCGTACAGATGAGTGGCCGTTTGCGAGTGCTCAAGCCCGGTTTCCCTCTCGGGGCCGAATGAGCTATCTAGTATAGTAGAACTCTCGTTTGTTGGGCCGCTGCTTCCTGCTTCCGGTCGGCGGCCCCCAAAGGTCCATCATGGGGCCGTTTCATATATTCCCTACACCATCTTGTGCTGCCTGTGCGCCGATGTCTGCAGATCATGTCGGTGCATCAGTAACTTTACTAAAGCACGTATTCAATGGTATGGGTATACCTTGCCGCATGCCCTACACAGGATCTGGGCAGGGCTATTCGTCGTTGGTTACGGGGCTGACCGTCGTGCGTCCATCGCCCGCGGTCGCCGTCGTGTCCGTCGCCGGTCTGTGTTTCTGGTGTGTAATGGTAGATAGAAGATATGCACATATGCACATGCCTTTCCCTTACCTTTCCCCCCGCACTCACCGAGGTCTCAACCTTCACAGTTTTCGGAAGAGGTGCAGCGGCTGCGGATATTGTCTCGACCACGGTCGAACGCCGCTAACACGCGCGAGCCTCTACTCCAGACATCATGGCGCTGTTCCGTAATACCGAGATCAGGTCTTACTTACATAGACGCCCTGCACCATACATGTGTGAGCACTGCAGTGAGTGATCTCTTCTCCCGGTCTCCACAACCTATACACCCAGTCAAATCCTGATAGTTGCCGACGGGGGCTATTGCAAATGGCTTGTGGCTGCCGACCAGTGGGATGTGGTAAGCTCCGTTCTTCGTGGTATGACGAAGAAACTGACGACCTATCTCTTAAAGGCCGTAGGGTGCAGATAGATAGTGATCCATCGCATGCAGAACACCTATGTCTCTACGTGAAGTATCTCCACTGACGATACCGCTCGCTATTGTGCGTCCTTCTCTGCGTATCTTCCTGACAGTACCGGTGCGCTGAAGCTTGCGTGGACAGGCTACGCATCAGGTATTCCGACGATATGAGATCTACAGTGTCTCCGTCCATGCCTGCCTTTTTCTCGTCCCGCCCGCCCTTGTTGCAGCGCACATCTCCTCGCAATCGTACTCTCCGTCGTCAATCCCAGCGACGTTCGTAATTGCACTGGTATCCTATGTGGCTGCTATTGCTGCGTCGGTCATCGTGTACCGACTTTCTCCGCTCCATCCGCTTGCACGATACCCCGGTCCGGTCTGGCGCAAAGTGTCCATGATCGGACCTGCAATACTGGCGACCACTGGCAACCGGGCTTGGGCATTCGCAGACATGCACAGGAAGTATGGGGACATCGTCCGCAGTGGTGCGTCGTACCGTTGTGCTAGCGTTCGCGGTTGCTGAGGGATCTTAGGACCGAATGAGCTGTCTATCATAGATCCCTCATTTATTGGGCCTCTGCTGGGTGCCTCGGGTCTTCCGAAAGGTCCTTGTGAGTTTCGTAGTACTTAGTACTCATATGTCTCATTCTCTCGCGCGGCGTGACTGACCATCATCGCTGCATGCAGATCACGTCGGCGCATCTGTAACTCCGGAGCACGTATCCATGGCCGGCCTGCAGGATATACCGTACCATCTGCAACGCCGACGTCCGTGGAACCGAGGGCTGAACCCAAGCGCTCTGAAGGACTATCAACCTCTGATCGTCGAGAGACTCCAGCTCCTTGTCCGAAGGCTCCACGAACAGTCCGGTATCATCGACCTCGGACTATGGCTCAAATACTTCGCGTAGGTCTCCTCTGTGGATCCTCCGAGGGATACTGACGAAACCCCTGATTACTAGGTACGACTTCATGTCTGACATGGCGTACGCACTCTTTACCGCTTGGTTTGCGCCCGACGCATTGATGGTCTATCCTGCAGGTTTGGCGGAGGATCAGAGTTGCTGAAAGACGGTGACAAGAACAACATCTGGTCCATAATCGAGGAAGGCATGGTGTACGTGCTGCCAGCTCGTCCTTGTTTCGGCGCACTGAGCAGTTCCTAAGCTTTGCAACCATACTCCACACTCTGCCTTGGCTGGGCGCGTACCTATTCAAGATTCCTGGCAGCGTCAAGCCTCTACTTGCAATGCAGCAGACCACCGCTCGACTCGCCGAGGAGCGGTTCAAGCGAGGCTCCAAAACCCGGGATCTGTATTACTACCTCGTCAGTTCGGGCGTGCAGGCTCATTGCACAACTACTCACGAGCTTCAAAAGAGCAATGAAGATCTCCCAGACAAGCCTCCTCCGCCTTTGCGGGAGCTCGCAGACGACGGCGTCCTGGCAGTCGTTGCGGGCTCAGATACCG